TCAACAAACGTTCCCCCGTCATTTGCTGTCCTTAATAAGCCCGAGCTAATGACACGTGCCTTTACCGTCATACTACTACTGCGTCTTATCGCCGAGGCATGTTTTTTTGCTCAAGGTATTGATACCTTCCTTAGTTGTTTTCAATGTTAGGAAATATTGCATTAAATCAAATTCTTGCAAAATCAGCCCTAAAAAATAAGCATCTACATTTGTATGAGTAAACATCAAATATTAATTTTTATTAAATGAAAACCCAAAGTAAGTTTCACATCTTACAAAGACCTTAAGGGATGGCTTTTTGTAGTGTAATTACCGTTTTTGTCAAGGTCGGTCATTCAAATTACAAATAACGTGAACATTTGTATTTGGCAATATAAATCTTTCTACATTCCACAAGCTTATGGTTGTTAAAAATTGATTCATGCTATTTGTTTTTAATATAATTCAGCCAAAACTTGGTGCTCGTCAAAAAAGATAAAATTACTATGCTGCTCAGGGTAACCATAACGAATGATTTATTTCTTTAGCCAGGGAAAGCTTAACTCAAATTGAAATAACATGTTTGCATAAGGCGAATTAACTGTATATGCTGCATTATTTCGTGATGAATGATGATACGATAACAAGTTTTAATCTTTCTGTAAGAGGTAACATCACCACAGGCAGCTGTCTTCTCCGAGACGTAATCTGTGTGCAACAAATCATGATATTTTACTGCAATATTAATTTGCCCGTAACTTACTTCTGCATTACCCATTTGGTAAGGCCGTCCGTGGTAGTCTCTTATCTCGAGTTTGTTTTTAAAGATTTTAATGCCTGCAACCTGTAACTATAATTTAATCTTGTTAACATTTCGCAGATACATGACGATTCATGAACGGCCATTTAATGGTATTACAAAATATCACAATTATAAACTTCTTTAAAACCGATCTCCACTTTTCTTTTGAGTATAAAATTGGAAGGAGACGTGATTTCCTACTGAACAGGTAAAATAATGAATATTTTGATGCACGTTTTCCATGAAATACAATTGAATTTTCAAGGGCATCGAAAATCAGTGAGAAAATTGCATGCAGCCTAAGTGGTCATTTTTTGCTGAGTATAGATCTTGTATGCAGCCGAAGATAAGTTATTTCAAAAGTCGACACCCTGTGGTGACTGGATCATTATAGGTTTATGCTGCATCATAATCAGTTTTACAACACCGCTTAACTTATCTTTTCGAAACGAGAACGCCTTTCAAAATTTTGGTTGACATTTCATGAGTTAGCACATCTTCTGTATATATAAATTATTTTCGTAACAATGGTACGCCAAATAAATGCCGTATGCACTAGCAAATTGAAGAAACATTTTAGTAAATTGCTTCTTTCATGCTTTCTTAGTTTTGAGATCTGTTCTTCAGCGTCTCCGTAAGCCAAGATATACAGTTCTATTCGAATTGGTCTCTCGAAAAATTTGAAAGACGTCTTTGGGTTTTTTAAGCAATGATATGTTGACTGAAATTCTGAAATACGTTCTCAATTACAAAGGATTCCTTAAATGCTGTTGTAATGTTGATCTCTGGCGGACTCGGTTGGATGTCAGCTTTTCAATACACTGATTTTTAGTCTTATTTGTAAACCGTACTAGGCAAAAAATGACTATAAATGTATCATGCCTTTTTTTAAACCAATTTTCATTCCTCTTGCAAATTTGATATATTTCTGTACAAACTACGAAACATATGCTTTATGTCAGTCGTTTGATTGAAAATTATGTCATCTCTGTATATAATAAGCGAAGAAAAATTATAGTTATGCTTTAAGTGCGTTTATAATTATGGTGTTATTTAAAACCGTGCGATGTCCATTCATATAGCAGCTCACCTGTCCTTCTACTATTGCTTCTTATGAAATTTACAGCATTGTCCGACTCCATTTCAATATTTCATAAACTCTGTATCATATTTTTTTAAAGCCTAAACGTATTTAAGATTTTTCTTAAGCATAACACGTGTCAATCCAACGGACGATAAGACTCCAATTTATTTGGCAATCAGGAAAACGTGCAATGATTTACCGTACTAACAACACAGGTATTAGCTGAAAGCCCAGACACGCGTGTTTCGCCAAACTTATGCCGCCGCCTAACGCAGCTGCGAGGGGTCTTGCCTGTCAGTGGGTCCCCCAGCTTTTCCCGTATGTTTTCTGGTATGTAAACTCCAGCTTTAACTTGGCTTGTTTAAATTCCTAGGAAGTTGATGCGCGAACTTTGGGTAAATCGTTCCAAACGGGCCTTTTTCGGCACGGTCCTAAGTATGATAGGAATATTTGAGCTGAAATCCATCAGTTACTGCGGAATAACCGCTTAATGTTCACAAACCACCAGCAGGCTGCCAATAGTATAGAACTGTGCAATGATTACATTTAAAGTCGTGCATTCTGTGTAGAATCGGAATGGTGGTCAGAGTCAAGACGCGCGGACAGTCCTGGGTCCTCGCGTGCGATACTCGTCAGAGTGATGTAACGTAAATGTAGATAAGGATTAAACGTGTAGGTGGATTAGTTTGCCGATGTGGGTGGAAGCTTCTCCATAGGCCCTTAACTAGTAACCCACTCCTCTCTGGGATTCTTCAAAACTAGGCTCTGCCCAGCGGCTTCGCCACAACAACCGCCTCAAGGCATTCAGTGTTGTATGTGTGCATTCCTACACATGGCTTCTGCTTCCGATCCCATCTCTTTTTCTACTCGCTCCTTCGAAAAGTCCAGTATTTATTCTTTGGCTGCGTCCTATTCTGGCTTGTGTGTGATTATCTTGCGGCCGCGAATTGAACCGCAGAGGCCTCGTCAAAACTTTGCACAACCACTTGCTGTGAGTCATCGAACGCCCATATTATTTTTGTGAGCTGAGCATGAACTTTATATAACCTACGTACTTGCGCATACAGTTAAGGCACTGCATAGTTTGTTGATTGTGATTTCGCAGACTTTTGATTAACATCACCGAATCACACATGGTGGGATGGGCATAATTTTAGCTCTCTAGCAGTGATGGTATTATAGTAAGCCAAACATATCGATCTGCAATTGCTTTGTCTCAAGTTATCTGATGCGCGACCCAAATAAACAAACAGCCCCGCCCATAAACAAGAAACCTGGTATTTTATGTAGTAAAGTTCACGTAAACCAAAATTGGGCATATAGATAAACACCTGCAACTATAATAAAATTGCGTTTTGAAGGAGGTGTCTCAGCGAAGTGATTGACATGCAAAACCTAGTAAAAATATTTATGCAAATACCCAATCCGTACGGATTTTGCCCTGACGAAATTAAAACTGACTGGGTAGTGAAGTCTATTTGTGCGCCCGATTTAATTTCTCTTAGCAGGAATTTATGTTCTGGGAATTTCGTGTTTATTGTATGGGTAAAATAACAAATTTACAATATGTATATTTTCAATAATCAAGTCTACGTCTCTGCCACCAGAAGTGTTGTATTTGTGAAATTCAGAGGCATGTGTAAACCTGACATTTATATGCCGCTAAAGCCTGGTCAGTTGCATAAAAAATAATGAAGCAAAATCCAAAAATTTAAACAGTCTTCAAGATTACAAGTAAGGTTTCCAATGTGCCCGGAGACCTTTAATACAAGTAAAACATTTGTTGTGGACGATCAGAATAGGTTGACGCAACTTCAGAAATAAATTATGATCATTTGTTAACGAAAACCAACACATCCTCCATCTTAATTGTTACTCATCACAGCATTGTGAATTGCGTTATCCATTTTTAAAGGTAACTATTATATTAGGCAACCTTATACGCTAAAAAGTAAATGGGCTTACTCATGAAATGCCAACCGATCTTCCGGAAAATCTGTTTGTTTCGGAAAGATTTATTGAGTAGGGTTGAGAAAATTATTATCGCCCATCACAATTACGTAATAATTTAGTCACCCCAGGGTTCCATCTTTCAAAATGACTTTTTTGCAGTGACACGCAAAAACTATAATCTGTGAAAAATGGATGCGTATGTAATATGCATTTTCTTATTGATTTTCCATTCGCTTCAAGATTCAATTTTACTTCATCGTAAAAATGCATAAATGTTGCCTGTTTTGCTCATTTGTTAATAAATGACATCTTGTTCCAAGTTTATACTCAATAGGAGTGGTATAATAATGTTTTTAAAAATTCTCTAATTCCCGAATAATGTTTAACTCAACCAGCCGTTACACTGTCATTCGGGGTTTCTAACCTACAAGCTGTTTATTTTCCGTGTACGAAAAACCGTTGTATTATGTAACGTATTAGGAGGAGACCATATGAGGTTCATAAAGTTTAGCAGTGGATTTCAGACCTATAATTAACTTTGCAAACCACATGGGTAAAAGCAGACACATGCATTTTATGGACCGCATTTCACGGTGTAAAAATATCTTACAATTAGCGACTTTTTAAAACCGAATTTTACCCATCTTTTCAGCAAAAAGTTTAGAAAAAGACGTTATTTTCTACTGAATGAGCAAAATAGTGAATAACTGTATGAGATATAATTTCATTTTTAAGAGCCTTGAACATCATTGAGAAATGTGCATGCTACTTAAGTAATCATTTTATAGAGTATAGTTTTTGCATGCAGCCGAAAAGAAGTTCGTTCCAATGCCGGCGCCGTAAGGTAACTGCATTATTATAGAATTAGGCGGCTTGATGATAAGTTTTACAACCCTACTTTGAAAGTCCTACGGAGAAGCTAACTCGGGAAACTTTTGATAATGACGCTCGGGTACCTGCGGAGATGTCTGATCAGCCCGATTTCGCTACAGAAAATAGTTGCAATAAGCAAATGCCGACATGATGACCATGTTTGCGGATATAACGCAATAAAAGCCAACCTTCGTTTCTATCACTTGAAAAATTCGCAGGCAGCTAGAATAACCCTGTTTACACTGACAGCTTAATATTTTACGTTCAATGTTAGACTTAAAGCGGATCAGCTGTTCAAAAAGTGGAATATCACAACGTGGACATTCTTGAAGAGGAAGAAACGATGTCCAGGACAATAGCCTTATTAACTTGACGTTTCGAATTCTTGCTCGAACCCATCATCTGAGACAAAAGCAGATTAGGGCGGACATTGCTGCTCTCAGCGATGCCTGCTACACCTATAAAGGCCAAATGAGGGAGAAGAATGCGTCTTAATCTTTTTCAAGTTCAGTATGCGACGCTGGTGTCCTGTTTGTTGCAGGGCCTTGAATATCTGTTTACGACCCTAGACCTGCCTATTTGGTTTCGCTACCGAAGCCACCACCCATGCACCTAAAGTTTAACACCGACAGGGTAAGAACAAGTTCTACGACGGTTGTGCTTATAGCGGTCAAACTTACTGTCCTCAATTATTTCAAAGAACTCGTCGAGATGGAATTTGCTGTTCGGGATGGGCTGCTCAGTCTTTATGGACTCGTTGACCGCAATGAAGATTGCCCCCTCCTTCTCTGGATCTACATGGTACATCATCTACCAATCAACACATACCGCTTTTTGAGGCGGTATAGGACAATTTAAATGCATCACCTAACCGCCCGTCTGGCAACTGCTGGGCTACATTACCGTTTGAACGTGAGATCAGCGGAACTTGTTAGTGAAAAAGAGTGGTCCTATGCGCCCACAACTGGAAGCACCACGGTCTAGTCGTTTCTGAGATTTGGTGCCGATATCAACTCCACAGAAGACCACACTATACTTAAAATACTGTTTTGCTGCATATTTCAACTCATTGCCTTGGTTTTAACAAAAACGGGCCCGGGATCTGTCCTAGTTGCGGGCTTTGAGCGCATGATGACCACTATGACACAGCGGAGACGGCTTCGGAACACCACCCACTTCATTGCCGAGGAGGATCTTAGCCGTCCCCTACGTCAATCCCAGGGCTCCATTGAACACTGCACGCAAAAATTAATGGCCAACTCGCTGTGAAGTATAAGGATGCACGAAGCCCTCACCAGACGCAAGCAGATGTCGTCGCTTGATTTGACGACAACTGTAGGAAGTAAAAAGCTGCGGATAGATGTTACGGCCGTAAAAGTGGTTAGTTAAATTGGTCGCAACGATTCGAAAACGTCTTCGTCCTCGCTAAGATAGAAAATGTCTGCAACATCAAAGGATCCCTATCATTGTTTTGTACTAGCGGAAGTATATTGCACAGCAACCATGCGTGCAAATATGCATTATTTTACTCCTTTAGTAGACCATTACTTCATCTTTAATAACTGTATATTTGAAGAAAGGATATGATTAGGTTTTGGAAGAGTTCCTTATCGTGGGATGTTTAATACCATTGCTTGAAATAACTTAGCTTTATTAATTCCTTACGGCAGAAATTAATGGCTTTGGATGCTAATTTTAACTATTTAAATGTAGCGTGCTTTGGGAATAAAAGAGATTTATGCTTTTACACGACGGCTTCTGGCCTGTCGCAGTTATCGATGCAAATATGGGGAATGATCTAATAGCATCGGCGTTTATTTAACTTTAGCTGTAAACACCATCTAGAAAAAAATAGACGCTCGAATCTAGCGACTAATTTGCGTCCGAATACATATGTTGCATCAAATTCGCCAACGTTATACAAGATCAACCTAAAGAGAAAAAGGCACACAAAAAGTATTTTCAAAAAAGAGATCTGACCTAACTTGATCACATGCAGTGCAGACGGGTCATTTTTCCTCTGGAAGATGTGACTTCATTTGTTGCCAGTTTGGAAGGTTTACGCGGTGTTTTGTTAAGGGGTCAATGAAACAGATGTTTTTTGCCTTCTTTGTACACCGTCCTTAATAAAGTACAGTTTTCTGCCAAGCTGAACATGTTGCTATCAGAGGTTTGAAATTAAACTGCAGTTGGACTTAACGTTTCAAACCTCCTATGTGCAGTTTTACTATAGAACGCAACTGCATGCATTTCTAATGATATGAATTCAACCGTAAAATAAGAAGAAAGATATTCATTTCATTCAGTGTAATTAAGTCGCTATATGCACGTCAGCAGCAGGCCCTGACAGTCTAGACCGGCGGATTACTCCTTCGAGACAAATACAATGAGACTGAGAATCACCTTGTTCACGTCAAAATCTTTCAACTCCTGACTTTCTCACTCAAGACGTACAGTAAATGTGCTAACTCATGAACTGTTAACCAATACTTCGAAATGCATTCTCGTTTCGAAAAGATAAATTAAGTAGTGTTGTAAAACTAATCAAGTTGCAACATAAATCTATAATGATCCCGTTACCGCAGGGTGTCAGCTTTCGAAAGAACTTATTTTCGGCTGCATGCAAGATCTATGCTCTGCAACAAATGCCTATTTTAGTAGTATGCAATTTTCTCATTGATTTTCAGTGCCCTTGAAAATTCAATTATATTTCATGGATGACATGCATAAAAATATTCATTCTTTTACTTATTCCGTGCAAAATAATGTCTTCTTCCAAATTCATACTCAAAATAAAAGTATAATTCGGTTTTAAAAAAGATTCTAATTGTGAGATGTTTTAATACCGTTAAATGGCCGTTCACGAAACGTCATGTATCTGCATTTACGAATGTGGGCTGTAAACTTAACAATATTGCTCAAATCCACTGCTTAATTTCATGAACCTCATATGATCTCCTCTTAAAAATTGTATATTTGAAGAAAGGATATGATTAGGTTTTGGAAGAGTTCCTTATCGTGGGATGTTTAATACCATTGCTTGAAATAACTTAGTTTTATTAATTCCTTACGGCAGAAATTCATGGATTTGGATGCTAATTCTAAGTATTTAAATGTGTCGCGCTTTGGGAAAAAAGAGATTTATGCTTTTACATGACGGCTTCTGGCCTGCCAGGGATGTCGATGAAAATATAGAGAAAGATCTAATAACATCGGCGTTTATTTTACTTTATTTGTAGAACCCATCTAGTAAGGAATTAGCGTTCGAATCTTAGGACTACTATGCGTCTGAATACATTTGTTGCATCTAATTCGCCAACGGCATACAAGATCAGGCTAAAGAGAAGAAAGCGCACACAAAGTCTTTCCAAAAAAGAGATCTGTCCTAACTAGATCACATACGGTGCAGACGGGTCATTTTTCTCTAGAAGATTTGACTTAATTTGTTGGCAGGTTGGAAGGTTTACGCGGTATTTTGTTAAGGGGTCAATGAAGCAAATGTGTTTTGCCTTCTTTTTACACCGTCCTTAATAATGTGAGTTTTCTGCCAGGCTAAACATGTTGCTATCAGTCGTTAGAAAGTAAACTACAGTTGGACTAAGCGTATCAAACCTCCTACGTGCGGTTTACTATAGCACGCAACTGCATGCATTTCTAATGATATGAATTCAATCGTAAAATAAGAAGAAAGATATTCATTTCATTCAGTGTAATAAAATCGCTATATGCACGTCAACAGCAGGCCCGGACAGTCTAGGCCGGCGGATAACTCCTTCGAGACAAATACAGTGAGACTGAGAATCACCTTGTTCACGCCAAATCTTTCAATTCCTGACGTTCCGACTGAAGACGAACTTAACGTTCGACTGGACAATTTATGAACATTAAAGAGCACAATAAGGCGTTCGCCGATTTTGGGACTCATAGCCAAGGCGGTCCCACAACGGGTGGAGTCGTTGGTTTTCCGACAGCAACGACCGAAATTATGGGCTCGGCATCAACGGCATCAGGTGATGACAGATGAAAAACATCACAACGCCGTCTCACCTGACTGAAAACGTCCGGGGTTTTATACCAGGTCTGATTCAGTGGCGAACAAGGCAAATACATCAAAAGAGCCGGAAAACTGTTCTGAACGTGAATGATTGAGCACTCAGCAGCAATGAGGAAAACAGACGGCGGCTCCCAAGTCGCGGCTGATTCTATAGGACCCAATAACACATTTAACGTTGACGAAACATAAATCCTTGCTAAACTCGAAAAAAGCCTGGGCGTCGAACAAGATGAGTCACGGTTTTCCGGTCCTCAGTCAGCAACTTGACGGCCTGCGATGAGTTTGGGAGTCGATAGTCTTGACCGGCATACTGGCGCATGGAAACTGCATGGCAACTTCATCGTTCAACACCTGGCCAGTCTGGCCATTGTGCACTCGTGGGCTGCTCACTGTGATAGGCGTGTAGCAGCTTAAAAACTTTACCCTACAAATACTGCAACAGTTGGGCAATCCAATATCCTTTTCTCACTCTGTCTCAAATGATGGACTCGAGTGGGAATCCGAAACGTCGGGCAAATAAAGACTTTATTCCGACGATCGCGTATACTTCCTCGCAACAAACAACGTGCTTGCACATGACCTGCTTGACATTCCTTTTGTATTCCATGACAACATCACTTTATCGAACACTATGCGGCGAATTAGCAATGTAATAAAAAGTCAGTTTAAGATCTGCATCAATTAAAGGTCTAAAGGTTTCATTCATAGATACACGTATATAAGATATATTGCAGTTCATAGCCAACAATATAACGCAGAAACATGACGGCTTTCAGTTAGGCGAAAGTAAAATTACTGCTTACGCACTATTCTAGAATGAAGCGGTAAAGATATAAAAGCAACCTCAACTTGGGCTGCGTGCAAAAAATCCTCTTCTAGCAGGTGCAATATTTTCTTAAAGAAGAGACAAATATGTTATTTAGAATACTCGCGTTCATGGGGAGTTTGCTGTTTTTCACTGCCCCTCTACGTTACGTATTGCACTGCATAACGGGCAGTAAGAAACTTTAGGTTGTAATTTCCACAGCGAATAGTGCTTTTGTCAATATTATCGCGTGAAATATAGATGTTGACAAGCGTATTCAAGCAGTGGAAATAACTGTATCGATTTTCAAACTGTCAGGCCTTTTCCAACATTAGATTTAATGGCCCAGCGGTCACACTTTTTTTCCTTTTTTACAATTTGCCCAATCACGCCAAATGTATATATGTGTTTGTGGCATGAAATAGTGCCTGGCCTCTGGTTGCAAGTTGAAGTGTAAATTGTATTCGGCGACTGGTCTCATAATTAGTCAGCAGGAATTATAAAATCCGTATGTAATTTAGTGAGACAACAATACCGGGTCAGATGTCGTTATGTAGCCGTGACTGCGGTAAACAGAATCCGACTCCTGTAATATGGAACTGTTGGTAATATAGGGTTTTAGAGGTGGGACCGGGTATCGCAAAGGCGACGAAGTCAACTAATTAAATGCACAATAAGATGTATTGGAAATGCGCGGTTGAGAAATCGTTGCTCTAATTTCTAATCATAATTCTCAACCCTAAGCCCAAATCCTAACCCCTCACTTCAATCTCTAACCATTATCATTAGCAGGTAACTATAACCCTTAACCGTAGTCCCAACGATAAGCCCTAACCATAAATCCTGAACCCTTATCCTAACCTGCAACGCCAGCTCTAATTCCAATCCTAAGCCCTAACCCGTTACCTAGCCATTACTGCAACACTGACACCAGTCGTAATTCTTAAACGC